CCACATAGCCACATTCCAGACCTCAGTCTTGGCAGTAACCTTTGCTTCTTTATAAAATCATTCACAGCATTCCTTATATTCCTAAAATAAACATCCAAACCCTGAAGAATTACTTTGGGCAGACCCCCCCCTCCCCTTGGAAAATCACCCTTGGTCAGTGGAAACCCACTACCAGGTGGTTGCTCCTCTGAAAGGAGTTGGGCAGTTTAGCTCTAAGTACAGGTTAGCTGTAACCCAGAATCCAGCATCCACAAATGGCCCTTTCTCTTTCTTGCTCATCTGAGTAATAGCAGCACAGGATGATAGTTCAACAGTGTTGGGGACCCAGGCTGACCCACCCAGCATGCCAGTTGTCCTCAGGAGCAGGCTCATTGCCACTCCTGTCCCTTGGTTACATCTCATCTGGCCTTCTCCCAGGAGGTCCTATCCTGAGTGGCATGTCCCAGCCCAAATTCTTGCCCCTGGAAGGAGGAAGAGAGAGAAGGGTGAGGGAGCCAGAGACGACTCAGATGCACAGAGGGGAGAACACCCAACCCAGAAGCAGAACCATGCCCACCTCTGTCTTCAGAGTCCGTTGCTACCCCTCAGGACCAAGCCAGTGTAGCAGCTGGCTCTGTGCTCAGCCTCAGGCGGGCCCTGGCTACTGAAGGATGGCCAGTGGGTTTTGCTGAGCTGGGTGATGAAACTCTCTAAACAGTGCTTGGGGCTCCTGCTCGCATACACAGACCATGGCATGCACATCCCCAGGGAGCACACAAGAAAGGTAGACAAGAAAGAGCATTTGGAATAAATAATTTAAAATCTAGTTATTATATCCTTGGGTGGTGATGCAGAGGCTGAATTTTTAGCAGGGGGGAAAGGGAACAAAGCCTAACAAAAATTGAGGTTAAAGCATAAGTAATGTACATTTACACTTTGCTTCAGGCGGGGGAAGCTGGTGATGAAATGCTCAGAGCCCGTTTCCTGTTTAATTTTTGATGCAAAGCCATCAGGGAGTCATTCTCCTTCACTCTCAATTTCAGGGGTCCTGAAACCTGGCATTTCTCTGTGGTAATAACCTACACTTTCTGCTGTGATTGATTGGTGCAGATGGATCTGTGCTGGTTTGGGAGGCTTTCCCCCAGCCCACTGCCTGGGCACTTGCCATCCTAGGCCTGTTTCCTGAAAACCCAGGCTCTTTCAGGCTGTGACTCAACCAAGCAGCCAGCAGCTTTGAAAGTCCCTTAGAAAGTCCCCTGCTCCTCAGATCATATCTGCCAGGCTTAGCTCATCCCAGCCCCCTGCACACCCCACCCCTCCTCGCCCACTGCCTCACCACTATGGGAAGTGCTATTGTAGACACCTCCCCGCTCTTCCTAGCTTCTGTTTCTGCCTGGGTGCCAAACAGCAAAACTGGTGACTACAGCAGCCCACCACCATGGTCTCAGGTTTTTGTAGGACCTGCTTTCCCACTTGTCCATAGCTGAGAATCACAATTAAGACCACAAGTTTGATTGAATTTTATCCGAGAAAAGGCACCCAGTTTTAATCAACTGATTTTATGCTCACCAGAGAAAACTGTTCTGTAGACAACAGGGTTGTCACCTAGTTTAGAGTTTGACAGGAAAGCTGAGGTCATGTAATATAGCCCAGAAAGGGTGCCCTGCTCCCTCCCAGCAAGCTCCTGTCTTCCATCTCAGCTTGGGGAACTGGGCCAGGGCTGAGGTGCCCCTACGTGTTCTGGTAACCAAGTTCTTCGAGCTTGTTTTCAGCAGCCTTAGGTGTTCTCAGTCAGCCCATTTCCTCCTTAGTACCTCAAATACTTCTCTTCTTCTTGTCCATGCTCTTCTGGTCCACAGCCCTGCACAACTGCTCTGTGCCATCCCCATGACGTAAGCCACAGCCCCTGTCCTTGGTGTCATCTCATTTCAGTAGTCACCACCAAGCCTTCTGCACCCATGAACACAAAGCCTTCTGCTTTTCTGGTGTAGAAAACATGGGCCGGGAGGTGGTGGGGCGGGGAGGGGAGGGAGTGGTCAGTCCTCCCAGGGTTGGAGCCCAGCAGGTTCAAAGCCATTCAGAGGCAGTTGTGCCAAATAGGGTGGAATGTATAGTAGATGTCTCTCTCCAGTGTAGTCTGGGACCTCAGAAGACTGCCAGGACCTTATTAATAAGTTAGAATCCTTTTCACCTCATGGTTTTGACCACATGGTGAACATTTAAGATCCAAGTTGCAAAATAGCATGTAAATGTGCTTTATTTTTATGTACAGATCCATAGGTGCCCAGTCTGGGCTGTGCTGCTTTAAGACCACACTGGGCTCAAGCTGGTCATGATGGCCAACTGCCTGGACACACACTGCCCACTTCTCATATCCACCTCCTAACTTGTACACTTTATTCTAACTCCAGAAATTGAAACTTTTCATTTGATTAAAATAAAGGCATCTTTATAGAGTTTAACTATAATAATTGACTTTGTTTCTGTCTCAACAAAGAGTAGGTATCTCCCTTAACACTGCAGAGCACCTGTCCACCTGCAGGTGAGGAGATTATTAAGCACATGGGAGCTGTTTATTGCCCCAACTTGGAGCCACTTTTGATTATCTCCTGATTGATAGTCTCTTAATTCTGTGGGCAGGGAGGAGCCAGTGTAGGGGGAATAAGGTACATTTCAGACCTTTGAAAATGAAAGGGCTCCTTTGTCCATCTGGTCTTTACTTTCTTTTTGGATTTAAAATTTTTCCATTCTTGTTTTGGTCCCTCATTAAGACATAGAGAAAATGTGCCCTTTTACTTAACTGCCAGCATGCAGTCTAATTAGTCTAAATTTAAAAAGCACAGAATCCTTGCGTCTTTCAGGAAATTAACAGGGAGGAGATATTGCTATTCCAGAAACAAAATCCACGGTACCAATCATCACTGTTTCCCCAGGAATGTATTCTCAAAGAAGGTAAGGATGAAAGAATTGCCATGCACACGGCAATTACTGCTTCTTGATCTGTGGCCTTACAAAAAGCTCCAGCTTGGAACTAATGATGACGGAGGAGAGATAGGGGAAGGGCCAGGAGTATGACAGGTGTCTGGGGTCTCCAGAAGCTGGCAGGAGGTATTAGGGCCAGTTCAGATACACCCACTTGCACTGTGATTAGATCAAGGTCTAGAGCCACAGGCGGGGAGAGTGTGTTTTAAATGTCATTTGGGGGCATCAGCGAGTGCACAGTGCTGAACACCACTCCTGTGGATGAGCACACGGAGTTCACAGGCTGGGGACACGCCCACTGACCGGTGTGGCACCTACACATGAAGGATGAGTTACCTAGGCCTGGGGAGGCCCGCTTGGAGGCTCATTGTGACGGGAGAGAGGAGGAGAGCCTTGTGAAGTCCCAGCGGCCTCGGGAAGGGACAGAACATTGGCCCTGTCACGTGCGACAAGGAGCAACCGGGAAGCCACATCTCCTAGTGCCTTGCGGAACTGCTGCAGGCTTGTGGGGATAGCTCTCACAATAGTAGGGGTGACACCGTTGCTGGGGAGTATGGCCATTTATGTCAGGAAATGAGGAGGGGAAGCAGCACAAGAAACCCAGGCATCCTGAAGGCTCCACTGTGCTGTCTTCAGAACTTGACTTTCCATGCCATTGAAGAGCCTCTTGGCTGTCCTCTGCTCTATTCTGGCTGCCTCTGTCTCACCTAAGCACCAGGTTGTCCTAAAATGCTCTTAACCTCAGACCCACATACACGTTGCTGTGACCTGCAGGACTTCAGGATCGGGCCATCATCTCTGTCATCTTGTGCTCAGCTCCCTTCATCTTCCCTCTGGCCTCCATCCTCTGGCTGCTGCTCCTCCCTGTCCCCTCAGTTTTCACCTAGTCACCTCCATCCTTGTAGACCCAAAAGGCAACCTTTTTACCTCATCTTATACCGGGGTATCAGAGCACAGGAAAGGCAGAAAGAGAGAGAGAGAAACTCTGTGCTGACATGGCTTCCTTCTAAGTCTAAAAGTAGTTCAAAAACTTTATGAGAAATCAGTAATTACATACCTAGGCCAAGATAAAAAGCTGTCTTTGAACCCCGGCCTGAGTGGCTTCAACCCCAAGCAAGTGTTCTTGTCCTTGCCTGCTGTCAGACCCTTCAGCAGAGGTGTGGGAGGAGGGGCAGCTGGCAAAAAGCCTTACATAAGAGCAGCCTGCCTGCTGCCAGACTCTGAGTTCCCATTCCCCAGTTATGTAAGAGGGTGTGTTTATGAAGCCACATAAATCACCCTGCAGTGTCTGAGGTGCTATCACTGCAGAGCCCCAGGTGCTGGGTTGAGGCTGGAAGGACTAGGCAGCATGGCAAGACACACTGTCTAAGACTCATTGCCCACTGTAAGTGTGCCCACAGTGTCCTGAGGTCATGAGATTGCTGTGGATGGCCAAGTCCACCTACCAAAGGCACTGTCTACTTGTTACCTGAAACAAGGACCAGATATTTTGTCCTCAAGGGCTACCAGCACATCACTAGCTTCCTGGGGCCCTGTCACAACCTCTCAGGCAAAGGGATGTTGGGGCCTGACTGCACCAGTGACTCTGGAGGGTTTAGTCCTGACTCGGGGGGTCAAGGTGTCAACACCACATTGCTGTGACTGGCCCGTTCCTGACAAAACACCTGGCTCTGCCCCCATCATTCACCACAAGGACCCTAGCTGCTTGGAGCAGGCAGGCTATGTGCTAGAAAGGGCCACGTGGAGATAGGAACCACTGTGGAGAAGATTCTGTTGTCTTCCTTGCTTCATTCTAAAGAGAACAGACATGATGCACAGGTGGGTAGAGTGAACAATACTGCCAGTGATACACATGCTGCAGTTCTCGTGGGTGCTTCTGAAACTGAGTCATTTCTGGACGCTCCAGCACAACTGTCCCCAGCTTACAAGGCCTGTGCCCAGATACTGTTTGCAAGGCTCAGGCAACTCCTTTCCCTGTGCAGCCCCTCACCCCAAGGCTGCTGACTAATGCTATCTGTGCCCCTCTTTTCTCTCCCTAGGCAAGCCTGGGACCTTGCTGTAGACATTTGCCTCTCCCAGCTACCCACAATCATCGAGGAAGGCACTGCATTCAGGGTGAGTCCCCTGTCAGGCAGCCAGTCTGGATGTGGTACTCAAGGATCTGGGGCATTGGAGATTTGGTTTGCCCACCTGGGAAAAAAAATGCAGCTAACCTGAGTTTGGAAAATTGATCTTCCTGGGGTTAAAGTTAGACTTTGAAATGGTTGACTTCTAAAGCTATCTTGCTTAAAGTATTCCTCTCCTAAATCTGCTTTCTTAATGCGGGACAGAATGCTTTTCTCCTGAGGACAGAACTGTTTCATGCTGTAGCCTTTTATCAGGAAATGGATTATGGTTTTCCCAAAGCCTGGGGACAATGACATGCAGACCACTGGGCTCCATCTGTGCCCAGGGCTGTGTCTCAACTCCAGGCCATACAAAATTGAGTTTCCTTACGGGGAATGCAGCTTGCCCTCAAGTGAATTGGACACTACCCCAGGTCTTCACAGCAGCTTCCCCGAGCCTCCTTGGGTTTTCATTTGTGGAGCATGTGCTATACTAGAGGCACTAAGTCTTAATAAAACTCTGTCCCTGCCTCCTAAAACCCAGAGTAAGAAGAGCACCAATTAGCATGGGGTCTGCAGCCCACACCCTGGGGCATGGGAATGGGGCAGGGTGTGCAGATGGGGGCTCTGTCATGAGGGGTGTCCAAGCCATTCATGAAGCTGAGTCTTCCCCACACCACCAGAGGGACCATGTCAAGCTTCAGCGCCACAAGCCTGGTTATGCCAACTCCTATGTCCTCACTTGAAAGCGCCGATTTTTCTAATGCATTTGTGCACACACTATAGGATTTCCTGAGTCTCTGCACCCTGAAGCGGAGCTGAGGTGATCTTTCCTTGGCTCCCCCCAGTGTGTGGAATCCACTGTTGGGCTTCTAGACAAAAGACCTGCTTGCCTGCCTTCCCTAAACTCTTTGGGGGCAGAGACAGGGTCTCTTTTACAGTCACAAATCTCCACAGAGAATGATGGTGGCTCCTAAAGGATGCCATACCAGCTGCCCCCTACCTCGTCTTCCCATCCTCCATGCCACTAGAAGTGGCCTTGAGGGTCTGGGTTCTCCTAGGAAGAACAGGACCTGTCATTGCAGATACATGTCTGGAAAACCCAAGACTGGCTTTCTGTCCTCCAAGCATGGCTTCCCTGTGCATGGGAAGAGCATTCTGTTCTTCCACAAGATGATACGCTTTCTGTTTGTGTGTGTGTTCCTTTCAGACTGAAACGCTTCTGTTTCAATGCCAGGTATCTTTGCCAAGAATCTTTTCAAGGCTCTTACTATATATCATTCCTAACCCGCTAAAATCAGTATTCCACATTTAGGAAAATTTTCACCAAACTGGAATGTCAGGGAAGGGAGGAACAACTTATGTGGACCTCACACTTGCTTTTTTATTTTGTGTTTTCACTTCTTTTGAAGGTATAACATAATACAGAAAACTACATGTGTCGTAAATGAGTAACTTGATAAATTTTCCTAAATTTATGGGCTTGGGTGATCAGCTCCCATGTCGAGCAGCAGCACACGAGCAGCCCTGCAGTTGTTTTCCCAGCAGCCTCCTGCCCACCTGCCTCTGTGCAGGAAGAAGCAGGACCATGCAGGCTGCGGTCTTTGGGTCTGCCTGCTTTCTCTTGCTACCTTTTGTGGCTCCTCCTTGCTGCAAGCTACAAAATCTGTACTTTCAAAGGGCAGTGAATGTTTTGAGTCCCAGTTCAAGTTCCTTGTGATTAGTGCTGGCTGGTCCTGGCCCAGACATATCAGAATCTGAAGCAAAAGGAAAAATCAGTCACACTGGTCCTGTCTCTATTTGAAACATTGATATTTTGCTCATGGTGGAGTTTTGATTAGTTTTCCTTTGTAAATACTGCATTAAGATATTGTTTGTCTTCGTTTCTGAATATTTTGGAACTCCCCACCCCCAAAATTTGTATGTGCTGCAAATGCCTCCCTCTCCTAACCTGGAATGGGACCGCTGAGTCTTGCACATGGTTGGTGAGTGTAATATGTGTTTCTTCTGGTACCCATCAGGAGGGCACAGGCTGTCTGCACTCAGTTACAGCAGATGTTGCTGGACAGTGCTCCACAGTGGCCATCAGTTCACATCTCCTCCTGCTGCATATGATCTGGCGTGTGAGCAGGTATCCCCAGGAATGGTGTCATGTGTCTCTGGTGCTGATGGAGGAGCGTTTGTGTTCTCACTGCCATAGGAGGTCTTGCAGGTTGTGTGCTACAGCCTTGCGACCATCTTTCTTATGTACATCTCTTACTGAACTGTCATGGTTCTGTGTATATTCTGAATGCAGATCCTTTATCATATATTATGAATATCTACTTTCACTCTGTGGACTTCATTTTTCACTTCTTTTTTTTTTTCCTCTTCTTCTTTTTTTTGCAGTATTGGGGTTTAAACTCAGAGCTTCACACTTGTTAGGCAATCACTCTACTGCTGGAGCCACTTCACCAGTCCTTTTTTTATGATGGGTTTTTCGAGATAGGGTCTCGTGAACTATTTGCCCAGGCTGGCTTCAAACCATGATCCTCCTGATCTCTGCCTCCTGAGTAGCTAGGAGCCACAGCGCCCAGCTAGAAATTCCTTACTTTAACAAAATCCAATTTGTCAACATTTTTTCTTTTATGGTCGGGCTTTTGGTGCCCTGTTTTCAGCCATCTTGACTTACTCCCATGACTGTTGCCCCTAAGAAACTGTTCTCTTTTCTTCTGAAGCTTTCTTGTTCCCCTTCACTCTGAGATCTGTCCAGCATCCCTGCATGTGTGGGGTGAGGTGGGGGCAGGGAGTGTTTGCTTCCCAGTGTCATGTCTAGTGTCATTGCACTGGTTCTGGTGACTACCTATGATTCTCTGCTCTGTTCTGTAGGTCACTTTGTCCCCTCTTTACAAGATGCTCTATAAGACATTGCTTAAGTTGGTCATAGTCCTCTGACTTGGTTCTTTTCTAAGATTACCTTGGTTACTTTTGTATCTTTGGGTTTCATATGATTTTTGTGACCAGCTTGTTAATTTCTATAGAGAACCTGCCAGGATTTTGATTGAGATCATTGTGAATCTGCGCATTGAGTTGAGGGATGATGACAACATCTCTGCAGTATTGAAACTTTGGCAGTAATTTTGCTGTGTGAATGTGAGTTTCCCAGGAATATGTAAAAGAAGCACATTCCTCAGAATTGGGATGGCACCAACAGCCCATAGAGTGACCGGAACAAATAGTCTGATCACACGAATGAGTTTTATTCAGGTTTACTTACAGATTACATTTAGTTTGCTTTATTCAAAATCTGTGGGCAGCGAGTGAGAGAATGGTGATTGATGACATCCTCGCCCCTGTTCCTGGGAAGAAGTGTTAACAGTCCCAGGACCCATTATCCCATACAGCATAGCTGGTTTATGTTCTTGCCTCTGTGGTGAGCCACGGTCTGCGGTTGCTCATCATAACAGATGGTGACAGTCAGTGAACCAGTTTTCCCACAGACTTCATTTTCTGTTTTTTCTTTATTTGTACATACATGGTTTACAAATGATTTTGTAGCAACACTACTAAATTTGTTTCTTTATTCTGATATTTTGCCTAAACTTGCAGGCCTTATCTTAAAACCTCATTTGCAGATACACAAAAAAGTCTAGTATATACGTCACTCTTCCAAAATCAACAGTTAGTAGTGACAGATTTTAACTAACAAGAAAACATCCAATTGGTGTTCATGGAGGTAGGGAGAGGCCAGAGGAGGGTTCCCAGACAGCAGGATTCCGGAATAGCCTACTGGATTAAGGAGCCTTCTGCATGCTGTGTGGTCTTCCAGGAGGGTGGACCACGTGCTCTTGACTGCTAGACATATCATTGCTCACTCCTTGTAGAGCAGTGAGTTATCACACAGTGGCAAGAGCATTGTGTCCTGTCAGCAGACTCCATCCTTCCCAGCAGTTTTGGCTTAGGGAGAGCAGGTAAGGATGGTGGCCAGTGAATGGACCCTGGTGGTAGCACATGTCTGGCTGGATTAACTCTGGCTATTGAGCAAAACAGAGCCTAAGGCTCCCAGTTTACCTTTCCACTTTCAATGTGTTGTGCATGGACACCTGTTTTTGACCACTAGATGATCTGACACTTCAGATGACAGCAAAGCTGGACATCAGGATCACTTTGGGGGAGCAGCTGTGCAGTTATGGCTGCATGCCGTAGGCCTCAGCCCATGAGGACACATGTGAGCTGTCTTCCAGAGTGTCCCCTCCTGCCATGCAGGGGAGGTCATCTGGGAGACTTGGCCCAGACGTCTGTGTCATCATAAGCTCCATGAGGGGCAGCTCTCAGGATGGCTTATGAGGTATGAGTTAGGCTATGGAGTTGCACATGTACAGAACTGTTGCCCCAATTTGTCAGCTCCCCATGGCTTTAGGAAGCCTGACCAACCTCCCAGCACCCCTAGCAGACCAAGAGGTACTTTTTCTTTACTATCAGTTTTAGGCAAAAAGATCAGGAATATTTGTCTTCCTTTCTGCATGGAACAGGTATTCCAGCAATGAATAACATGTGCAAATCCATAAGCAAAATCTAATTGGAAAAAAAGACAGAAGGGACGTAATTATAATTCACAGACGAAGATTTTTCTAACTTGATGTAACTCTGCTCTCACGAGATGTGGAAGAGGGGGCACTTAACAAGATTTTTTTTTAAACCAATTTGTGAATAATTCTCACTTAAAAATGGGAAAATCACTTTGGGGCTCTGTTCCAACTTCACAGGCTGCTTCTGAATGTAATTTCCTTTATGTAAGCTGACATCACCAGAGCACACTTTCCTAGGTAGGGAAGGTAGGGAATGTTCTGCTGGATTCTCATGGGACCTTGACTTTTTCCAAGGGCCCCAAAGCTCTGAGCACCAGCTTCCCTGTGGAAAGCATGTTGGGAGTTGGATGCACAATTGTGACATGGTCTCCACATGTGCACATGTCCACCTGGGTCCATGTATGCTGGCACCTAGAACTCAGTGCAGACCCTACCCTGGCCAGAATCTGGAAGGAGGCCTTCATGCTTTCCACTGCTCATGTGCACACACCTCTCTCATGTACCACCCTTTTCCCTCCAGGAAATGGAGACAGGAAAACAAGGATGGTGTGCGAAAACAAGACATTGATGGTTTTTAAACTCTTTGAATTTAGGGATAAGGGAAGGCAGAACTATATTCAGTGAAGGTGATAATACAGAAAGAGAAACTGGGCAGGCCTTGTACTGCCCAGCCTAAGTTCTCCTTCTTCCAGTGGCCTTGACCTCCCTCCTCCCTTAGTCACTTCTTCCTGTGGGTTACCTGGTCCTTGTTACTGCCAGTAACCCTGGCCTAAGGCCAAGGGAAACTTGATGACCCTCCCCAGGACTCTGGCTCCATGGTCCTTCATGCTGCCAGAACATTCCCACCTTCCCAAAGCCAGGCACTGAGTCATTCTTGCATACCCCTTCACTCCCTTTGTCTGCCCCTTATACTCTCAGCCTGTGCCCATGCAGTGTGAGCCACTGTGATCTTATTTATGGCTACCCCCTGGAGGGGGCCTGAGCAGCTACCACACATTCTGACCCCTAACGTTTCCTTGGCTCCTCCTGTCTGTCCAGCTCCCACTGTCCTCTTGCACTCCCCACCAGGTGGTTTTGCTCCCTGTCTCCCTGAGGAACACAAATAATCGAAAGAGAACCCCTGAACCTCCCACTGCCCCACTCTACCCTGTGCCCTTGCCCCTGTCCTGCCAGCAGCGCCAGCTCCTCAAGCAGTATGTACCCAGCCTCCCTCTTCAGATCAGTCCCCCTCACACAGACCTTTCTCATCAACTCACACCCATGCCACTGTCCTCCCAACTATAAAATACATTTTCTGATCTACTTTCCCCCCATCCACTACCCATTTCTCTCTGCCTCTTTGTAGCCACCTCCCTCAAAGAACTGTCTCCACTTGAGTCTTTGCATTCTCTCCCCTTCTGTTCCTGTCTCACCCCAGCCGTGCTTTCACTGACTGAGACTGGATTTAGTGGTCCTGGTGACCTCTGGACTGCTGAATTAATTAACAGTCAGGTTATAATCGTAGTCTAACCAGACCCTCCCTGGTTCCAGGGCACCATGCACTTCTGCTTTCCTTCCAAGGCCCAGACACTCAGTCCTGGTTTCTCTTTCTCACTTAACTTTAAAGAGAAATCTGGCTGGGCGTGGTGGTGTACACCTATAATCTTAGCACTCAGGAGCCTGAGGTAGGAGAATTGAGTTTGAGGCCTGCCCAGGCCACATAATGAGTTCCAGAGCCAGCCTAAGCTGCATGATAAGTTTCTGTCTCAAAAAGATCTGTGTGCTGCAGACTCCTATTTATACATCTGGCCCAGACCTCTCCCACACTGCGGGTGCATGGTCACCTGTCCATGCTTCTTCATTTGGATGCCCAGTGGACACCACAAACTCAGCATATCCAACACCTAAGTCTCAATGTTGATCCTCCTCCCAGACTGCTTCTCTCTCCATCTTCCCTGCCCCCTGGCAGTGACATATCCATTCAGGTGCTCAGGCCACAAGTCTCAGAGTTGTCCTCAGCCCCCCTCCCTCTTTCTGTTCTTCACATCCACACTGTTCACAAATCCTGTAGCCCTGTCTTCATCACAGCACATGTGACCACCTCTCTACCTGCTTGGCTGTGGCCTACAGAGAGAAGGTGCATCGTGGGCCTGGTGGAAGGCTGACAGGGCTGTGGGCTGCGTGAAGAAAGCTTCTCCCTAATCAGCTTCCCTGCTTCTCCCACAGCACAGCCCGTTCTTTGCTGAGCAGCTGACTGCGTTCCAGGTGTGGCTCACGATGGGCGTGGAGAACAGAAGCCCTCCTGAGCAGCTGCCCATCGTTTTACAGGTGAGTTGCTTCAGACCAGGCCCGATTGGCTGAGGCATCTATCCCATGGGAAGAAAACCAAAAACTGGAGTCCCCAAAGGGCTGATTCACCTGAGACTGCACTGGAGTGTCCATGAGGTCTGAGGAACACCAGCCCCTTCTCTGCAGCTGTGCTCTGGGCCAGATGGCAAATAAATCACAGAAATCAAATCAGAAGTCTCAGAGCTATCTGCATATTTATTCCTAGCAGATTTCCTGGTAAAGCTGCTGAGTTCCCTTCCCCATCCTCCAGTTAGATATAAGTGGGGGCAGGAATCGCCCCTCTCCATTCCCCCATTCACACTTTAGCTCTGTCCCAGCTCAGGCTCTAGACAGCACTACTTCCTCTCTGGAAGAACATGGGATATAAATTAGTCCTGTGAGGAAAGGAAGAGGTGCACTGAGCAAATTACACATGGGCCACAGCAGGCTTCTGAATCTAGCATCTTGGGGTTATTGACAAAACAGCAAATGCAAACCACGGAAGCCATCAATCCTTCCTGCACACAGTGGGTCTGTCATTGTGTCACTGTAAGAAACAGGCCCCTTCTGGGTCATTCACATGGTCTATGTCATGTTCACATGCAAAGTGCAACCCAGTCGTGGGTTGGGGAATCAGTTCTTTGTGTTCTGCCAGCAATTTTTGACTTTGTTTTTGTTTTTATTTTTTGTTTTTAGTGGTGCTGGGGTTTGAACTCAGGACCTCCCACTTACTAGGCAGATGCTCTACCACTTGCACCATGCCCCTAGCCCCAGCTGATTATTTTTGGTTACTAAAATGGGAGGGGAGGAGATGGGATAGAACAGGAATAGTGAAGTCCATCACAGGTGGTAAGATTGGAAAGAGGTCATCATCTTTTTTTGTTTTAGTGAATGTATTTATGGGAGAAACATGAGCTGGGTCATGACCAAGAACAGCTACTTTTAAAGCTATACCAGGAGTTGAACTCAGGGCCATATGCTTGCTAGGAGAGCGCTCTACCACATCAGCCACTCTGCCAGCCCCTTTGTTCTGTTTTTGTGGTGTGGGTGGTGCCAGCACAGGAGGGTAGGAAGACCCCATGTCCAAGTGTAAATCCAGCCCCTCGAGGAGTAGAAAGGACAGGATGCCTTCCTGATGGGGCACTGCTTGCCAAGAGTTAGCTCATCACGCCCCCAATGCTGATCAGGTTACTTTACCTCTGTAAAGTTGGGACATGAGTCTCATTGTCCACCAGTCCAAGGACATCTGCCTTGCTTCCTTCCAAGAAAGACTTGTACTTTCTTATTAAGGCTGCTAACCACATTGTGATGGACGGCACCATCAGTCTTCACTGAACCAAATGTTCACTGAGTGGCTCCAGCTTCTGAGAGATGATTTGGAAGACAGAGGCACAGTTTATCTCTGTCTGGCTCTGGAACACAGCAGCCTCTCTCCTGCTCCTGAGTGCTTTGCCAATGCCGGCCAGCCTTGAGGACTTGGGAGATTACTCACCTGCCCCAGAACCCCCCTGGCTTAGGACTTTATCCTAGGAATTTCAGCCAACAAAAGAGGCCACAAAGAAGAATACATGTAAATGTTGTAAAGTTGACAGTAGCCTGTTCCACTGGCCTTAGTAATCAGGTGAGCAACAAAGAGTAACCAGCTTGCAGTGTCTTTTTGTGTCATATTTCACCTTAGATACTTTTGGAGCTTTTTGTATATTAGCATTGCTTCTTTTCTGACATTGTGAAAAGAATGAAAAAGTGATTATGACTGGTCTCTTGAATACTTCCAGATTAGTTTGAGACCATCTGGGATTACAAAATGAACTATAAACAAATAAGCAAATAGATTTTCAAAACAGGAATATGAGGGAAGATAAAAGGCAAAGGGAGCTCCAACTTCATTTGGAGCAGCTGGCAGCTGGCCACTCACTCATCTGGTTCCTTCTTGTGCTTTGTCTTAAGAACCTTTATTGTTGCCAAAGCCTGGATCCCATTATCCTTAAGTTACCTTTCAGTGCCTTGGCAGGTCAGGGTATATTACTTACAGGAAAAACATTTTAATATGGACTTTAACTTTTCAGATCCTGCTTCTTTTCCTGTGAGCCAGAGAGAATTTTCTACACCACTATCTCAGAGATGAGAGCTTGATGGTGTCTTGGATCCGTGAGAGGTCCATGAGGCCCAGCTGGATTGCAGCCCCTCAGATAACTATCAGCGTGAAATGCACCTCTCCTGACCGGCCTCCATGTCCTTTGTTGTCTTTTAAGAATTAATAATCAGCAGAAGGACTAGGAAGGAAGATATAATGGTTTTGGGGGTCGGTATTGGGGCTTGAACTTAGGGCCTACATTTGCTAGGCAGGTGCTCTAACACATTAGCCATGCTCCCAGCCCAGTGTAATGATTTGTTCAAATTGTTATCTTCCCTCAACTTCTTGCTGGGGTCTTCTGGCCATTGTCACCCTACAAGGAGCTGTAACATCTCACAGCATTTCAATGTCCTGATGTGCTAGGCCTTCTGGTTTTGTGTAGTCCTGCCTGGGACCTGCCGTGACTATCTATTTTCCTCTCAGGTGGCAGAAAGTAGGTCTACCTTGTACGAAAGAGAGGGAAGAATGATTTCATAGGGTAAAATTTTAGTGCTTTTACACAGATGTTACAAATCAATATGAGCGTTTCATTAGAACCCTATGTCCTCTCAGTGTACCACTTTATTTCAAATAAATTTTGGTTCTAAAAGTACAGAGCTCTTGTCAGGAGCACCAGGATAATAACTTGGGGTGTTGTTAGTACACATCATTTACACACACATATGCACATATATCGGCCCCATGCACGTGTGTTGTGTACACCAGTAACCCTATGTCATGTGTGCACATGTATGTGCATGTCTCTTAACACATGTGCCGTGTGTGTGTCACATTCATGGGTATACTGTGCTGCATGCATGTCATACACACACACTTGTGTCATGTACACAGTTGCTAATGTGTGTGCCTGTCGTGTACATGTACTTATGTGCACATGTGTGCACACATTCGTAGACATGCACATATGCATGCATGCGTATGTCGTAGCATGGCATCAGATACTCCATGATGGTACTGCTCCTTAGAGGTCTCTGGTCCCCCAAGGTTCAACTGCAGGGATCAGTTTTCCATGAAGCGACTTCACCAGCAACTCTCAGGTCAGGAGCCAGGCACAATCTTTGCCCACTAGGCAATCAGACTTGAGTTGCCTTAGCAAGCTCTGTTTGAGCTGGTGTTTGTGCAGCCACGCTTACTTGTTAGTCGAGGTTGTCACAATGAAAAGAAACTCCAGCAACGCAGTTTACTGTCATTTGTCTCTGTAATTTCCATACATCTTGGGGTGGTCTGAAACAGGAGTTAGTCTGGATTTTTAAGTACAAATAAATACCAAAACAGCCAGTTCGTATTTTTTAAAATAATTTTAATTCATACTGGATTTCCATTTTTAAAAAAACCTCAATGACCAGAAGATATAGGAAGCATGTACTATTTAAAGAAGGTAATATCTACTGTGTTTGCGCATGAAGCATGGTAATGGCAACACAACATCCAGCATTGCCTGAGAACTCCCGACACTAACCCTGTGAACAAGTGGTTGTCAGGCATTCACACATGTGATCACCATGGGCAGCTCCTGCTGTGGGACACCCAGCAGAGTCAAGAGGTCTGTATCATTAGTTCAACACCCTCCCCATGCTGTACCAGTCAGATGGCCATCTGTCACTCCCCAGAGGCCCCTAGTTTTCCCAGCCTCTGCTGGAACCAAACAGGTAATCCCTTAAGTTGCCCTCCCTCTAGGGTCTGCCTGCCAGTTCTTATCCTATGCATCTTATCCCAATGTGAGGAAAACCTCCCATACTTGTCTCAGAGACTTGGTCAGATACTTGGCTCATGGGTGTTTATGGCACTGCCCACCATCGCTGTGCGCCATGAGTGTGGCTGTTTGTTAATGCTCATCACAGGCTAAATGAAGGTCCACCCCCTAGTACCCAGCATGGTGTCTGCACAAAGCAGCTGTCCCATAAACACCTATTAGATGACAGGATGAAAATGCTCTGGGTTAGGGACTCGGCACACATGCCCTCTAGTGTAGACACTGTAAAGGAAAAGTCAGAACAAATGACTCCACTAAAAATATGTAACTTTAGTATAACAGAAAAAGGGAAATACATGCAAAATGTATGGTCAAAGGTACTCTTTATTAAGAGCTGTTCCTAGGAATGGGGGTACAGCTCAAGTGGTAGAGCATCTGCCTAACAAGCACAGGCCCTGAACTCAAACCCTAGTACTGCCACACACACACACATTTAAGTAGACCACTTTACTTGCCTAGTAGCTGCTCACTCGCAATGAAGAAGCTTCAGACTAGAAGAATGTGTCTTTGCCCATCCTTTTGGCCAATGACAGTTAGTGTGACATGGCTGGTCTTATCCCAGGAGCTTTTGTAACTTAACTTTATAAGCCCTTGTGGTTAGTATTATGTTATCATTGTTCTATGAATTAACAAATTAGGGCCCAGAGATTTTGGGCAACTTGCCTAAAGTCACATCTCAGCAAGTGCTGCCAGTGGTGCTTCTTGTTAAAGGGGTGAATCTGTTCAGCCAAGAGTAATTGGGTAATATAGGTATAGATGCTCTGAGCCTGCGATTTTACTTCTTAGATTTATCCTAGGGACAAAGGGCAGGTATATGTGCAGAGATGTACCTATTAGGATAGGCATCACAGTGTTGTTTATAATAGCAGATTCTTATGGTAATATAAGTATCTAGAAGTGAGGAAACCATTTAAAGAAATTGTGTACATTCATACAAATGAAATGCTGCTGTTGGGAATGATATGTCCTGTATCTACTTAGTCAAGTGGGGCTGTCTTCACAGTACATTACTTAAAGAGGAGATGAAGGGTAGAACAATGTGTTATCTACTTTAGATAGGGAAACATATGCATAGAGAACAGTGTCTAGAAGTTTGTATACCAAAACATTGCCAGTGATCTGTCCATCAAGTATACTAGGAGTGTTTGTCACACGGAGTATTTTACCTGTGTGATGAAGAAATAAGCTAAACGCAGCCCAGCCAAAGGTAATGGAAGGACTGAGCCAGCAGACAGGTGAAAATTGATTGTCCAGTCTAACCCTGCCCTGCCGATAGATAGCTCATGGTGGAGGCTTTCTGAGTGCTGTGCTGCTAGAGCTCTACTGTGATGCAATTTTGTTCTTACTTGACAGGTGCTGCTAAGCCAAGTGCACCGGCTGAGAGCCTTGGACTTACTGGGAAGATTTTTGGACTTGGGTCCCTGGGCAGTGAGCCTGGTGCGTGCCTTCTGCCTTACCTGGGATCATCCTGTGGGGGGGACCAGACACCATGTGACAATCTGAACTTATGATCCCTATTCAGCTACAGCCATGTGAGCTAGGATAAGCTTCCACTGTGGACACCCAGTAAATCCTGAGGCCTTGAAAACCACCTCTGTGCCTGGGGCATTCTGCGGGGCACAGTGTTGCCCTCTTTCCCATCCAATATTATCCCTAGCCTTTGCAGGGACATGGCATTCACTTCTCGCGGGGCAAGAGCTACCGCTGCAAGAAACTATAGAGCGTGTTGAGACCCAAGCCTCACTTGGTATTTCTTTTCCTCCCAGGAAGAATCTTGGATCCTTGTTCACTGTCTTTGCACTATTGGTTTAGGCACAGTTCTGAAACACTTCTCTGGTTACTCATTCTATAAGAAGAGTAGAAACAGACATTTAAAATGGAAGAGAAGGGCTGGCGGAGTGGCTCAAGTGGTAGAGCGCCTACCTAGCAAGTGTGAGGCCCTGAGTTCAAACCCCCGTGCCACCAAAAACAAACAAACAAAAAAGATTGGCAGAAAGAATCAAAAAGTGATCCATCTGTTTTTTCCAACAAATAAGTCACAAGGAAAATAAAAGGGAGACTGAGGGGAAAACTACAGAGGACACTGGCTGACAAGCATGGTGCTCAGCAGATGAGGTTCTCTCTGCTGTGTCTGCTTCATTAATAGATAATGTCGACAGAGTGATTGTTGATAGACCAACATTGAAGGAAGAAAGAAGTCTAAAATTGAGAAGACTCAGTATTGTAAGCACATTCCTACATGAAGAAAGGCTGGCACCAGATCCACTCTGGTCAAAGCTGGTGGTACAGGTAGCTTCTAGGAATAAAGTTGGAGAGGAATCTGTCTGCAGGAAACCCGTCCTTACTTAAAATGAGGCACATTCATTCCCGACACATTTCCCATATGTGCTGAGGAGAACATTGCAGCCATGTCCCAGAGCTGCCAACCAGCCACCTGTGCCACCCTCACTCCCTGCAGGCACACACAGGGCTTGAGACCAGGCTGTGCTGACACTCTCCTACCCCCTCCCTCCCAGGCCCTGTCGGTGGGCATCTTCCCCTATGTGCTGAAGCTGCTCCAGAGTTCAGCCCGAGAGCTGCGGCCACTCCTTGTCTTCATCTGGGCCAAGATCCTCGCTGTAGACAGTGTAAGTACCCTCCGTCTGTCCTGAGGGTGGGAAACAGTGCTCTGCCTATGGACCCTGGTTGCCTCACCCCAAATGACAGTGGCCACAGAGCTTGGGGTGGGGCTGGCTCTCCTCCTGTGTTTCCCTCCTGCCATCCCCAGACTCATGTCTGTATTTGCTGTGACTGGCCTCCCTTGCCCTCCCTTCTGGTCCCACCTCTTCAGAATCAAGCACAACACTCCCCACATCCACTTCTAGGTGACCAGATCAGCCCTAGCCTCTGGGACCAACCCAGCCATCAGCTCACCTGTCTCCTTGTCCTCTGTGCTTCTCTTAGCACCTGCATTCTGTCCCATCAGTGCTCTTCTCTTCACTCTAAACACAGCACTGGCTCTGAGCCAAGCGGCCACTCCACATCTTAGCAAGGTTCTAAGGCATTATGCATAGCTGCCCAGCTCTTGCTCTCTCTATCCCATCATCCCCAGCAGCTCACACCAGCTGGCCTGGCACCCATGTGTTCCCTCCACAGAGACCTGGGAAGAACTTTGTGTCAGGGCCTGTAGGTGACACAAAGGTCAGCTGCTCCTGCCCCTGGCCTCAACAGGCTCACAGCCCTCAGGGGACACAGTCACAGACAAAGATTCTGTGGGAGGGACCACACATGTGTTGAAATAAAACAGGAAGATCTTGACAGGTGTAGCTATCAGGTGGAGAAGCAGCAGTGCAAATACCCAGAGGAGTGCAAGAAGGGTGGGCCTCGAGGAGATGAAGTCTCCAGCCAGGGGATGACTCCAGATTAAGAAGGTCAGCTGTAGCTAGTAGGCTGTGGTAATTAAAGATTTTGGGACAAAGAAACTATAAGAACTAAGCCCTGGTTTGTAAAAGTTAGCCTTGGTGTAAAGTAGATTGTAGGAGCAAATAAGGGGAGGGGAGCTCTCCCTCAAAGAGAGTGGGCTGCGGTGGTGCCAACAGCTGGAGAGCCATGGGGGAGGCCATTCTCAGACTTGACCTGTGTGGCTGAGGGAGGCAGTTCAGACCCAAATACATACCTGGTAACCAGGCTGTGGCTTAGGAAAGAGGCTGGCCTGAGGGGTTGGAATCTAGGGGCCCTCATCCAGCTAGTATGACAACCCATGACATCTTGAGCAACAATGGAGAACACAGGTCGGGGGGTACTATGGCAAAGCTCTTGAGAACACCTGCTCTGGGGGAACTAAGAAAGAAGCACCAGGCAAGGAGAGTAGGAAAAACAAGAGGAAAGAAGCGCTTGTTGGCACAGTCAGAGAAGGCTCCAAAGCAAAGGGTGTTTGACATTGGTGAGGAATGTCACCCTCTGCAGGGATGTGGGAGACAGAGGTGTCCTAGAGAAGGCCTCTGTGCTGATGGTCTGTGTTCAGGAGAAAGCACGGAGAGGTACTGAGATGGGTCAGAACCAGCTCGACAGGGAACACATGGAATCAGTGTCATGGTCAGTCTGCTTGAGAAATTCGTATGTGAGGGAAGAGATGGGGAAGAGGCAAGAGCAGCAGAACCAAATAGTGGTCCAGACAGTATCTCATTAGAACAAGCAGGTCTTTGTTTCAGTCTAGACTTTGTTCAGCCTCCATGGATGTGCACATGTGTGCAGGATCCTGGGCAGGAATTATATGAAGAATCTCTCTGGGTTCCCACATCAACCCCACGGAGTAAATAGGATTTTACAGCCCAGTCACAGATAAGGAAGTTCTTGCAGAAGCAGCTCACAGTCACATGACTGACATGTGACAAGCTGACATCAAGCTCAGCAAGAGGCTGGGTCTAGAGCTTTCTGCCTGCACCCCACGAGGGAGAATTCAGCAAAGTCATAGTGCAGGCAGCCTACAGAGGTCGTGGTCTTGAAGTGTGAAAAGTGGTTCTCTTTTCTGTGAGTTGGAGAATATGAAGATCTTGTCTGCTGCTTAAGCCCTGCCCCCAGGACACTTTATCCAGTCTGCCCCTTCCTACTCACCAAAGCTGAGACCCTGCCTCCTTGTTCCCTGTCACCACCATGTCAGCCACCAGCCTGGCTGTGCTCCACTGAAATCACCCTCACTACACCTACTTCCTTGGACCTTGTTCACCTGTGTTGGTATGTCCCTGCTCTTCAAGTACTGGTTGGCTGGAGACTGCAGAATGAATCAATAAACTGCAGGTGCTCCCGGCCCCAGACCTCTCCTGTGCCCCGCACTGTCATTGTTATTCCTTCCTAACACACAGGACCACAGTATGCTCACTTCTGCTTAGGAAAGAGGCTGCCTTCATTGGATCTTGTCTTTGCTTGTGGTTGAGTATAGGACCGTTATCAATGCTTGTTTATTGATCTTATACAACAAACATGTTAAACTCTTATCAGTTCTAGTGGTTTACCTGTAGAATCTCTTGTGTTATCTACCTAGACCATGATACTGTCTGCAAACAAAAACAACCTGTTGTCTTCTCCAGTCACAGGTCTCTGGTTTTTCTGGCTTAGAGGCCAACCAGGATTCTAGTCCATTGCTGAGTGGTTGTAGTGCTATGAATCCCTGGTTGTCGTGGTCTTCTTGATGCTGGGAACTGCCTCCCCTCAAGGCTGACCTTGACCTCTGTTCAACCTTGACTCTTGCCCCACACTATGCACCTGATTGACTCATAAATGTTGTGGTCACTGTTTGCTTTATAATGACCAGAATATTATACATTTCAGCAAAGTATTTACCATCCTAGCTGGTAAACTAATTTCTGGTAACCAGCAACTGTTTGAAGACTGGTCACAACACTGGTTTAGGGGCCAAAGGACTGAGTTCAAGCCCTATCACCCCATTTGCTCCAGAATGGGCCTGGGCCATCATTGGCCTGTGTGTATCCTGGCATCACACTGAGGCCATCTGTCTCCAGCCTCAGAGCTTCCGACCTCAGAATCATGACATGGACAGCTGTTTTGTGAATGGCAGTATATTGGGTTCCTTCAAGGAACAATTTAGAAATATCATGTCCGTCCACCTGTCTCTGTTACTCTACAACTGTGCTTGCTAAACTGAGAGCTTGGTTTGTGACTTGGGAAGCTGTGCTTTTTATTCATCTGTATTTTGCCCTTATTCAAAGTCATTGAAGAGTTAAGTTACATAAGCAAGGGATTTTTCTCAGAAAGTCATTTTGAAACTGCTTCCCTTCTATCCCAGTATCTTTGCCTTTTATATCAGCACATTTAGAAATGTATTAGCACCATTACTTGGTACCTGGCCATAGAGTCATGTGGAAAGGCTCCAGGTTAGCTGGAACTGACAGCCTGCCATGGAGCAAGGCTAGGGCGAAGGAGTGGAGACAGGAAAGCCAAGGAGAGGTTGTCTTTGATTCAGGAAATAAGGCAATGGTCTGTGGTTCACACAGCAGTGGTCTGTGATTCAAGACACAGTGTAGTGATCAACATTGAGGACACAGCAGTGTCTGGTTCAAGACATAGTCGTAGTCTATGCTTCAGGACACAGAGCAGTGGTCTGTGATTCAGGAAATAGCAGTTGTCTGTGGTTCACACAGTAGTGGCCTGTGGTCCAGGATACAACAGTGGTCTGTGATTCAGGACACACAGCAGTGGTCTACAATTTAGGACACTTGAGCTTACTTCCTCCAGCCGCCCTCACCCCTGCCAGTGCTGCATGAAACTCTGATTCTCATAATGTCAGTCTTTCTAGTGCCTAATGGTGGTTTTCTCTTTACTTATAGTCAGGAGTGACCGTATCTGAAAGCAGGTAGTCTGTCCCAGCTATACTTTGCCACTGTTTTGTCACTGAATTTGCAGTTGATCATCATGCTGCAATGTGCAGGCATGGTGTTTCAAACTACTTCTTGCTCCTGCTTACCTCCCAGGCACCCCTGATTCTTGTACCCACAGTGGCAGCACTCAGCTTTGAGTACAAATGCCTGCCGCAGTACTCTGTGAAGACAGCAGGCCTCACAGCTCACATTTGTGAGATGCTGAGGACTTACGTGTGTAATAGTGAGTGAGGAGCTATTCCCGCAGCCCAGCTGGAAATGCCCTTGCCTGCAATGTTCTTGTAAATTCCTGCAGGCACCAGGGACCAGCCCATGAATTAATTTCCTAACCGGCTTGTTGCACCTGTTTATTTAACAGCAGTCATCCCACTGAGGGACATTTTGAAATGTTTCCGGTTCAGTCCGAGCCTCATTTTCCTCATCCTTCCTTTTCATAATTACCCTGGCCATAATTCCCAGAGATTAAAGTTCCATGTGGTTTAAGCAGTTGCTTCTCCACTCCTCACATCTGGCCACGCTGTGTTCAGCCTCCCCTGCTTGCATGGCTCGTGCCCACACTGAGCTCAGAGTTTCCCAGGTGACTCCTTGCATATTACTTCACAGAAGGGATTGCACATGTGAGGACAGAAGAGCCTGCCCAGAGGTACAGAGGGAGGCCACCAGGCCTGGTGCTCCCAACAACCTCTGTGCTGAAGCCTGACACACTCTGAGGGCCTGTGAAGGGTGAGACCCTCTCAGGCTGGGCCCGGCTGGAAGCTGCATTGGGACCCCCCTCTTCCCTCCATGTGTCTGTGGCGCCCACTGTGTAGCATTCTGCTTGAGGCTTCTAAAGGACTCAGTAGTGAGGCAGGAATTTTTCTGGCCCTTGAGAAGGTGAGCTTTACATGGGCAGAAGAAAAGAGGGAGATGCCAGGAGAGGAACAGGGTACAGAAGAATCATGTGTCCTGTTTCTGAGGGGATAGCACACAACAGCCAGCTGACCATGACAAGGACAGCCTCTTCAGAGCCCTGTTATTCTCCAAAGACTGATCCCAGACATCTCCTCCAGAGTCACTCCTGTACCATGTCACTCTATGCTTAACCATGCCAGGAAAGGAAGAAATCAGGATGTAAGACCCATAACAAGGAAAAGAAAAGCAATCCACTGAACCTGTTCAGTGCTGCCACAGATGTCAGCACTGGCAGACGAGCACATTCAAAGATGGTAGAAGTCTATTGCACACTCTCAGGACAATCAGCTGAGGCTTGGAAA